TTAGCTGCTCGTGTTCTATATTTTCACCCATGTTTTCTAACTGTTTTATTATTGATTCAATTTTACGTAATGTTTTTCTAATTTCAGGTATGTATTTTCCTGAACGAGGCATTCTTCTTAAAGCTGAATGTAGACTGCACTTTATGCTCTCTTGATCTCCAAAATTCTTTTGCAGCAATTCTAAAACTATTCTATAATTTTTTGCTTCTAGAGGATACTGATCCACGAGCTCTAATGGCTCTCCTTTTAATGCACTTTTTAGATATTGCATTTTTCTTTTTTCTGGAATTACCTGATCTTCGACTGCTGCCTTAAATTCTTCATAGAAAGCATTCCAATTTTTTAATTCGCCACTAAATTCTGGCAGTTTAATTTCCGGTAATTTAACGTTAATATTTTCTGTATTTATTAAAAGGGATGGAGCTCATTTTTTCTAGAGTGCGTTTATTTTCAGCTAAAATCTCTAAAATATCTCGACTTTGATCCATTACAACTAAAAACCCATTAGGTCCTGTACCAAAATTTGCATACGCTTCTTTTTCAGCTGCCCTTAGAACAGGTCCTAAACTCCCGAAATAATTGACATAATTCATATTTTGCTTGTCTAATTCCTCCATTGTATTTTTAATTTTTATTTCTAATGACTCAATCTTATTATTTAAATTTTTAATTAATTCTGATTTTTCTAACTCACTTAAATTAACGGCGATTGTAAAATCTGCGCTGGCGGCCTCGGCGTTGATACGAATGAGACGTTCCTTCAAAATTTTGATTCCTTGTTCGATTATATCGCCCATTTTGATTTCGGCGCTGATTAAAGAAGAAACGTTGTCTTATTTGGTAGGGTTGTCTTTGTTGGGAATTATAACGTCTGTCAGATCGGCGAGAATAATTAGGTTGGTGCCACTGACGAGAATAACTTCTACGATTAAAATTACGCCTTTCCGGTATATTTCTGTTTTGTTGTTCAGAAACACGCTCCTGTGGAAGTTCCTGAGGAAGTTCTGGAGGAGGTGGTGGTGGAGGAAGAAAGTATTGATAAGGCACTTGATGCTGAAAGGGGGGAACTTGTATTTGAATAACTACAGGCTGATTTTGTTCCTGTTCTTTTGCTTCTTTAGCTTCTTGTATTTTTCTATCCTTAATACGTTTATTCAGAAGCTGTACACTTTTTTTCACTAATTGCTGAGCAACACCTTTTGTATTTGATGTGTTTTTCGGAAGGGATGAAACTCTTTGAGCCCTCCCGACTTGATCAGTGTTGGACTTCAGCTTTATCTAAATTTAAATTTTTGGGGCACCACTTTGTCGTATCACGACAATTTACAATAATTTTAACTAAACTTACAAATATTTATTCTTTAAAATTATACAATTTATTTGGGTGATTTGCTTTTGGGGGGAAAGATAGTAAAAAGTGAATGTCTTTTGGGAGGATTGAAAAAGTTTAAATAAGGGTAGAACAATTGCATCAGATTTAAAATTATGAAACAAAAGAGAATAAAAATATTTTGAGAAAATTGTTGAATAATAATAAGGGCAAAATATGACAATTCAAGAATTTAGAAAATATTAAAAGAATGGAAAAAAATGAATAAAAATATTTTACAAAAATAAATTTCAAATTAATAATCTTTAAATTACCTTCATATGATTTCCGTCATCTCCAACAGAGCTAGCCGAGTCTCGACTCTAGGCTTTTCTTAGGCTTTTTCGGCCTTAGGGTAAAGATTTGGCCTCAACTTTTTTTCTTCAGGGAACAAAATTTTAATAAAAAAACTCGTCAAATAAGCAAAAATTTATCAAAAAAGAAACTAAAAAGTCAATGTCTCGTTTCACTCATTAGATTTGTGGCCCTAAAGAGGGCCGTTTGGGTTGTGGCTGTTGTTGACGAAATTGCAACATCACTTCTATTCCATCCAGGAATGCAATTCAAAGGTTGCCAGGCAGAATACCCCTGATGAAAAAGATATATTAGACCTTAATTTCACTTGTAATTTCTATTGGGTAGGGGACGACTCAGAGTCGCCGATTCAGAGATTACAAGTGAAATTAAGGTCTAATATATCTTTTTCATCAGATTGTAATGATGATTCACCTAGCAGCATTTAAAACGCTTAGGCGGGTGTTAAACAATCTAAAAAGGAAAAAAAGCATTAGTCGATGCGCCGGTAGCTCAATGGTAAAGCTCCTCATATAGTGAGCGAAAGCGCCTAGCAACAACAAGCAGGTGGTCGCAGGGTCGAAATCTGACCGGTGGTTAAACTCTTGCAAACTCTTTCTAGATCTTAAAGCCCGAAAATAAACTTAAAACTGAAATAAATGTTTCAAAAATTATTTTCGACATCTTATATGTATTCTAAATGTTTATTTTCTTAATTTTTAAAATTTAAAAAAAATCTTAAGTTAGAAAAATTAAAAAATTTTCCTTTGGATCTGGATTTTTAACTATTTTATACTTAAATAATTACATAATAATTCTTGTTGTGGAATATTTTCTTCACTGACGTGAATAATTTCTTTGTTATAATTTTCTGGTAAATATTCATTAAGAAATTTAACTTTATATATACAATGACTATATTTTTCAAATAATTCAAACATCTTTTGGATATTAACTTTTCCCATATAAAATAAAATTTCATCTGTAAATACAGTTCCAAACGAGACAAGAATAACGCATTCAGGCTAAGAATGTTCTAATATGTACATCAGGGATCTAGCCGACATAAAAATCCAATTCCCGATTTTCGGGAATCGGGACTGCTAGATCCCTGATGTACATATAAATAATTAAATATCTGTCGATGTTAATATTTTTTAAAAAGATATAAAGTCGATTCTAAGGTGATGAAAGGGAATTTTAGGGATTAAAAAATATTTCAAAGAATATCAATAAATTAATTTGATTAGGAGAAAACTCGTGAGATAGATAGAAAAAATCGGAAGTTGTCTTTTTAAAGGCCTTATTAAAATACAAAGATTTTGGCCTGGAGACAAAAAGTTCTGGTTTATTAACTGTCTAAAATTTTTGCCTAAAAGGTAAACCGAGTTTCGGTTTGGCTCGTTGGATTGGAGCGAAACGGACGGATCTCCATTCTTTGGTATCGTGCTTCTATTTATTTTTTATTTATTTAACTCTTACTTCATTTTCCTCCGACTTTTTTTTATTCAAAATTCCTTTATCCTCAACAACAATACCTCCAATATAAACAATTCTATTTGGCTTCGGATAATTTTTGAAATTTCCAAGTTTGTGTTGATTAATAAAATGATATTTAATTTTTTTAAATAAATGCTCAAATGAAGGAATTGGTTCCTGAATTCCATATTCTAAAAAGCTTTCTGGAATTTCTGTTTTCCATAATCTATTAATCATTCTAATATCATTTTTAATAATTTTCAAATTTCTTTTGTATTTTTTAGATCCTTCTTTGCTTATGCCATTTTCGGAGTTCCAGTCTCCTGGTTGGGCAATGGATGCTTTAATAAATTTTATTATTAAAAGGATTAAAAAATTCGTTAAATAAGTTTAAATTTAATAATTTCTAGTGATCATGCTTCTCCCGTTTCCGCCTTCAGTTTTTTGATTCTGTATTATCTGTACTATAATATCAGTTTATCTGTACTATAATTTATATATTATTGACCACTTATTCTGTATATTTTTTTTGATCGCGCGTCAAACATGACGTAATAAATTGAAATCACTTCGAAATAGTAAGAAGTCGGGGGTCCTCTATCGAACGGTACTAAAAATGTATCAAATTCGCGGTGACAGTAAACGATGGTCCCTTGTAAGTTCATCATTGTGATAATTACCTAGTGTTGCTCCCTACTCGTTGAGGCAGGTTTGTCAGGAGTTTGAGTATGATTGAAAAATTAACACCAACAAGTTGTTGCTCCCAATGTGCAAATAAAAATCTTTTATTAGCACAAAATTTTTTCGCTTTTAAATATCGGTTTGTAAAATCCCTGGGAAACAATCTTAATAAACATTAAAACTAACAAGGAATAATATATTTAGTAACATCAATTCCAATAAATTGAAAGTATTCTGGAAGGAATACACTGGCACCAACATTAAAAGTTTTTTCAATTCCTAAAAGTTCGAAAACAGCAAAAGAGCCAGGCATTTGATCAAATTCAGCAATTCCAAAAGAATAATTTTGTTGTTGAAGATAATCAAAGATTGGTTTATTGCCAACTTTGGGAATGTTAATTTCAACGTTTTTCTTTATTTCTATGAAAAATAGATGATAATTAAAAAATTTTATTTTAAGGGGGGGGGGAAGGAGGGGGGAATATTAGGGGGAATATTAGAATTTTTGAAGTGTTTTCAAGTATAAATATTAATAAAATTAATTTACACATTAATCAAACTTCCCCATGGATTTTACTTATTTTATAATTCAATAACCTTCATATATTTTGAAATAATGAATATTTATAAATTCTTCGGCATTATTAGAAATGTTCGGCATGATTGGCACCTCAATAATTTTCTTCAATGATGCAGATTTTATTGGAATAGCATTTTTGTATTTGTAAACAATAATGTCCTAAAATGAAATTGGAACTATGTATAAAGGGTGATTTTATAAAAAATAAATTTTATATTACCACATCATATTTTTCTGATAAAGCTTCGGCCAAAGTTATCTTAAATTTTGAAATTAATATAGTAAAGCAGCTGGGCTATAGCTATTTCTCTCCTTTAGCTAGTGCAAAAGGTTATTCGCCGGCTGTGAGCGAACCAGCATCTTCAGTAGACCGGATTGCCAACCGCCTACTGCACAGCCTTCGGAAATAAATAGCTATATGCTTTACAATATAAATTTTGATTTGGATTTTAGTCTTATTAAATACAATCTGTGGATCTCTCTTGTATATACGTTTGTTGGGTATTCCTCATGGAATATAAAATCAAACCTTCTAAAAAATAAAAAAATAATGTTTTATTTCAAAATTTAACTAATTTAAATGTTCAGTATTAAGAATTAATTTACATGTAATTGCACATGCGAAAATAAATAATTAACGCAAATGTACAAAACTTTCTTTTTTCCATTAACTTCTTCGATCTCAGAATCTTTATAAGTTCTCAAATCCCCTCTCATTGAACTTTCTCCTTCATACGCTCCTCCCCCATAACTTGTCCCTTCCTGGCCATAATTACTATAACTTGCTTCTTCTACAGCAAAACCTTCTCCTTTCCCTTCTCCAGAATATTCACTTACTCTATGTTGACCTCCAGAAGCTTCTCTTTCCGTGTTTGTTTCATAACTCTCATTTTCAGAATAATTATCTTGGCGTTCTCCACTACCCAAACAGCTACAATTTGAACTTCTCTTAAATCGAGAATGGCGCAGTTTTTTCTTTCCATTTTCAGGGCATTTACATTTTATCCCAATGGAAATGTTTATCAAAATTAGCAAGAAGAAAATGTAAAAAATTAATTTTAAATACATTTTCTCTAAAATAATTTTTTAGAATTAAAATAATAAATTTTAATCAATAAATTGTATAAAAATTTTTAATTAAAATAAATTTCTCTACAAGAGTTATGGCATTTTAAATAAAGTTAAATTTCCTTCTCTATCCACTACCCAATTTACACCAGAGTTGCGTCGTAATTGAAAATTTTTTTTCGTAATCATACATAATTCGTAATTTAGAAAAAAATTCGTAATCGTAATTCGTAACTCAAAAAATGCCGTAATTCGTAATTACGGCGCAACCCTGCTTTACACGTACGTATGATGAATTTTTGTCTTCGGCAACAAGAATTCAAGTGGTGTAATTTTTAATTTAATTATTCGGATTTTTATAATAAAAAATTGCCTAATTCAATTGTTGGATTTAAAAAATATAACATATAAAGTGATTTTAATTTAATTTTTGTGTTTATAATTTTTTGCGGATTTTTGATATAGAATGCGGATTTTTTAGATCGATATTGCGGATTTTAAAAAATTCGAGATCGTAACCCTGTTTTACACGTAGATAAACCCTTTAGATAAAAGTGCTAGTATTTTCTTTAAATGAAATAGCGCGAGCGAAACAGAGGTGAGCCTCATCTCTTTTTCTCTAATTTTCTCTTATTTTTCCATACTCTTTTTATTTAATTTATAAAAATTAAATAATTTATAAAAATTAATTTATAAAAATTTATAAATATTTACATAATTTATAAAATAATTTATAACACCCACGCTTGATTTTCACCCTTCATTCGACTATGACATCGAGCCTCCTCCATGGGCTTCACCTCCATAACTAGTCCCGTGCTGACTATAATAACCTGTTCCACTAAAACCTGAACCTTCTGCCTGATCTACTATGGAATATTCACCTCCAGCATAGCTGGTTGGTTGGTGAACTTCAGAAACTTCCTCTTCTGCGTTTGATTCATAGCCTTCTGTTTCAGAATAAATAGTTTGGCGTTCTCCAAGTTCCAAACAGCTACAATTTGAACTTCTCTTAAATCGAGAACGGAACAATTTTTTCTTTCCATTTTTTGGACAATTACATTTTATCTCAATGGAAATGTTCATCAAAATTAACAAGAAGAAAATGTAAAAAATTAATTTTAAATACATTTTCTCTAAAATTATTTTTTAGAATTAAAATATTAAATTTAATAATTAAATAAATGTATGAAAAATAAATTTAAATTATTTAAAATGAATCTCTCCATATAAGCATTTAAATAAAAGCAATTCCCTTCACTACCCGGCTTTTTACACTTATATTTTGAACTAGCTTATGAAATGCGTCCAACCAATGCATGTGTCCGGATTGGATTTATGACTTATGAATGTATACGTGCCTCAGGAATAATTTTTCAAAATAATTTTTTTGAAAATGTTTTATTAAATTAACAAAGCAAATTGAATAAATTAACAAACATAAAATTTGGGGGCTTAATTTAGTTTTTTTCTAGGCTCGAAACTATCAATATTAAGATAAAATATTTTTATTAAAATATTATTTTTATATATTCCGCAAGCTTTCAACTCTTGCGGCATTTCATTTTACAACTCTAAATTTAATTGTTAAAAGAGAGAGAGAGAGTGAGATTAAAAAAAGATCCACGAGGAGGGAACGTATTAATCTTTAGTTCAATTACAAACTACAATTTTAAAAATTTTTTTAAAATCATATATATTATTGATTGGTTTAATTTAAAGAATATTTAAAATTAAAAAAAAATTTTTTTTTATAATTTTTGAATTTAAGAAAGCAACTTACTTGTTTTTATAATTTTTCTGCAGCAAAATCTTTAATAACTCAATTCAATTAAAAAATTAAAGTAAGGAGTGTCTTATACTTTCAAAAATTCTAGACATATTCTCAGATTCAGAATCGAACCCAACCTTAAATAAAAAATCCCTGAACGGGGTCTAAAACCTTAACCACTCTATCACTCGTTCCTTTATTGAAAACTGATAGGTTTTTCCCTTTTCAACGCCGCAGCTGAACATTTTGAAAATTTTGAAAATTTCATTTCTCTGTGTCGCGGCCGAAAAAATTATTGACGGATAAACGCAATATCCGAGTATCATATTTGTATCCATCCGTATCAGTCCGATTTAAAGAAAATTTCACTATTATATATTAATTAAAAATGATTTTTAATAATAAAAAAATAAATTTAATATAAAATTTAATAAAAAATAAAATCAATTTTTTAAATTATAAAAATAATGGGCTCAGCCGGTGATCGAAACCGGGGCCTCTCGCACCCAAAGCGAGAATCATACCACTAGACCACTGAGCCGACAATCATTTTGTTTTATACAAACCTTTAATTTGTTTTTGTTTTTAATCTGTTTTTTGTAAGAAATAATAAATAATTATTCTAGTCTCCCTATGTATTAAATTAAAAATTCTCTTTTTAAAATATTTATTTAGAAATAAAGTCGGAATAATTCAATTAGATGTACATTTTTTGATTTGATTATCCATAAGTGGCGGAGCCACCTAAGCAATACAACCAGTATTCAATAAACCTAATCTTTCATATAATTTATCCAACCTTAAGTGTGAACCAGTGATGTCAAACTTCCAGTTCCAGTTCCGGAACTAATTAGTTCTAGTTCCAGTTCCGGAACTAGAACTACGGAACTAGTAAATGCTGGAACTAGCTTGGAACTGGAACTACGGAACTAGTTCCAGAGAAATTTTGGAACTTTGACATCACTGGTGTGAACACATAAGTGATTGTATTTTAATAACTATAATTAGAACGGCCAGTATATTTAGAAATATTCAGGCATCTAATCTTAAACATATTCTGAATCCTTTTAAAATTTAATTTTTTTAATTTAAATTTTTATTTTTTAATTAAGAAGATTACTAAATGTTATTTTTATTTGTATTTATTCTTAATTAAAGTTGGAAAAAATATTTAAAATTAATTTAAAATCAGAACGATTTAAAGAGAAAATTTGTTTAATTAAAAACATTTTTTTCTATTTTTTCCTTGTAAAAGCCGCGTCAACCTCAAGTATGTGTGTTTGTTTGTATATATTATTTTGCTTAAAAAATATTTATTTATATCCTCTTTCCATACAGTTTTTATTAGTGCGCGAGACTTGTTTTTAGTTGAGTAAATGATTTTTTATTTGTTTCATTTTTACCTTTTACCTCTTAAATATATAAAAATATTTATTTTTTTAATATTTATTTTAGGCTTTCTTTTTCCTCCAAAATAATTTTGTGACACTTTAGGAGAATTAAACTTTGGAAAATAAAATTTTTAAAATTAAGAGAAAATTTTTGAGATGGAATTTCTCGTTGATAATATCCAAATTGAGATTGTGATTTAAGAAATTATTCAATTATTATTAGATTATTCACATCAGACCACCCTTAAAGTGAATATTTAAAATTTTATTTTTATGATTATTAAATAAAAAGTAATGATTATATTAATAATTACTGCCATTGTTTGGCAAATAAATGCACAACAACCACCATTCATTCCCCCTCAGAATATCAATGGAACATTTGGGCTTCAATTAAATTCTGTATGTTTGTTTAAAAATATACTTAAATTATATGTCTCCTAAAACTGAACGGCATCAAATAAAAGAGAGATAGATTCTACTGATGGTCGGACTCTCGGTCTCGGTCTCGGGGTGGATTTTCGGTCTCGACTCTTGGCTTTCTTTAACTCCCGACCATCACTAATAGATTCTATTGTACTGTTAGGTTCTGATTAAAATTATTCTTTTAATTAAAGTATCCATCTCCTCAACATTTATTTCAATATCAAAGACAGCAACAACCTTCAGATTACCGTCAACAACAGCAATATGCTGCTGATGGTCATTATTTACAACAACCTCAATATAATAGTCATTACCAAAATTCTTTTCAACCACCGAATAAATGGCAAAGTTGGTTTTTACGAGATATTTGAGTAGTTCAAAAAAAGTTTCAAAATTATCGATGCCTAATACGTTCATCATAATGACTTTTTTACTTGAAGCTAGGCCTGCGTTGTAAATTTTCCAAAAATTTTCCCTTAACTACTCCCCAAAGTCAAGAAGAGTTGATAGGTCCGTTGGACCTATCCGTTTTCTTATTTTCCTTCTCTCCCGATCAATTTGCGAATCTTAATATGTACATTGGATAAATTTTGAACATAAGTAAAAATCTAAGAAAAATTATAATTTTTCTTAAAAATCAGCATCCATCAAACAAAAGTCCTTTTAAAAATATCCACATCCAAATACCCTAAAAATTATTCTTAAGATGAACAAAAGCTAGAAGATGATGATTCTAAAGAAGAAAATAATTTTCTTTTAAAACAAAATAGTAATAACCGTCAATATCCTCAAAGAGTTCATTTTGATCCAAATAATAATTTGCCCTATCTTCATGATCGGCAACAACAAAAATACAATCAAAAATTTTATGGAGGATATAATAATCATTTAAACGGGCAAAATAAGTTTAGAAAATATTTTTTTAAATTTAATTTTAGAATTTAATTTAGTCCTTCATCTTTTGATTTCGAGAACGAGGCGGATTCTTATAATTCCCCTTATAATTATGGAAATATGCAAAGGCCAGTAAATCCAAATATGCAAACAGTATGTTTTAACTACAATTTGTTGAATTTTTGAAACCGAAAATCTGAGGCAGTAAAGTCCCGTGATTGACTGTTTTTAGGAGTTTCGGTTACCCTAGTTCGTTTGGGATTAGAAAACTCCCAAATTTATTAGTTAATAAAAATAAATTTGTTTGAATTTTTGGCTCATTAAATACATATTCAACTTTAATAGGCAATAAAAATATTTTTAGCTATAAGTGATAATAATTCATTCATATAAGAGGTTATACTCAGGGGTGGGTCGGAACAGTCACAGGTGTCGGAAATCGGAAGAGGCGGAAATCGGAACTGGCTCAAAAGTCGGAATTCGGAAATCAAAATTTTTTCCGGAAATCGGAAGGAAAAAACGTCTGAAATCGGAATTCCGACCCACCTCTGGTTATAATTCATTACCCAGACAAAATAAATAAAAATATTTTATACAAATCTTAATTCTCGATTTCAATTTTAGCATCAATATACCGGCCAGCAACATTCGTATCCGGCTGGTCCATTAAATCCACATTATCGCACAGGAATTGTTTACCCAGAAGGGCAAAGGAATTTAAACAATCATAATAAGCCTTTTTGGTTTAATGATGCAAGAAAGGATAAAAAAATAAATAATTTTTGGAGTTTAGTAGTTTTTGGAATTTTAATTTTGTTTAGTTAAATATATTCTATGTAGTGTAGCTCTCCATTTTCAAATAAAGTTTTATTTAATTTTTTAATCTCCAAAAACGATTACCGTATTTCCTCAAATACTAATTGAACGGGGCCGTACTATTTGAAGGAATACGGTAAATAATATTACAAGTAGTTGTGAAATAAGGGTTTTTGGGGTGGTTTCCGACCACTCGGGGAGAACTTTTGGCGAACAAGGATGCTTGGAAATGGACTGTTGAGGATCGGGGCTTTTCGTGTTTTTACGTGTTCTGGGATGACCCTATTTTTAATTATAGAGTAACAATCAAGTCATTATAAGAATGTTTGTTTGAACATTTCTTATTATAAAATTCTTCTAAACAAAAAATTTTTAGGGAATTCAAATTTATCAAAATTTTATTTTCTACATGCCCTCATTTTTGAAAATTAAAAGTTTTTCAATTAAAAATTTTAAAATTTAATTTATTTAATAATACATACATATTTAAAAAATTTAAATAAATTTTTCCAATCAATAATTTCTTAATAAAATTATTTAGAGAGGGCATGCTTTAAGGGCATGCTTTTACCTACACGTTAATAATAAATTGTTGGCAAATTTTTCTTTTTTCTTTGCCTTCTCTCTCTCTTTCAAAATTATGTAGAAGGCTATAAAATTAGTTTTTATAGATTAACTCCGTTGGATTAATTTTTAGAAAAAAAGTTTCAACACAAAAATTGTAGATCATTATGTGCTCTATAAAATGAGTATAAATATCGATATCATATATCAGTAAAGTTTTTATTAAAAATTTTTAAACAATACTACCCCATTTTTGGGCGGTATAAATGAAAGAAGCAAACTAATTAAAATTAAAAATCGGGATTTTTATTAGGCCAAAAAATTTCCAAAAAATTACTGACGTCATTTTCTAATGATAGTGAGTAGAAAAGAAAAAAGAACGGAGACTATAAACGATTTCATTGCCGAGATTTAAAATCTCAAAAATCAACGGGAAATGGAGGTGCAGTACTTCAAAAAATATTTTAGCCCTCTGAAACTTATATAAAAATTTTCTTTTAGGCTCATCTGAAAGCCCATAAAATTTGCTACAAAATAGTTCGGGTCTCAGTTTTTCAAAAAATTATTCTGTTTGACGGGCATACATTTTGTTCAAAAATTCTTAAAATCAGCTAAAATACCTCAAAAGTGTTAACATATTAAATTCATCCGACCTTATATCTAGAAGCACTTTATTGGAAATTTAGGCTGAGCTATTTTGTAGTAAATTTTATGGGCTCTCAAAATAAGTTAAGGGAAAATTCTCGAACTTTGGCATTAAATTTTTTGAAGGAAAAGCAAATTTTAATTTGAATTTACTATATATTTCTCCCATTTTTCTTTTGTTGGTTGATGGTTAATTGGTTAGGTTAATGACTTCATACATACACTTAGATAATTTGACGGGAGGAGTTTGATTTCATGGAAGGAGAGTTAATTTTAATTTCAAATTAATCAAAATTTTATTTTCTACATGCCCTCGTTTTTGAAAATTAAAAGTTTTTCAATTAAAAATTTTTAAATTTAATTTATTTAATAATATTAAAAAAAATTTATTTAAATAAATTTTCCAATCAATAATTTCTTAATAAAATTATTTAAAGAGAGGGCATTGCTTATAAAAAATCAAGACATGCCTTCACATAGACGTTAATAATAGATTGTTGGCAATGGGTGCACCACACTTTATCGCGCTCCCATTATACCGCCGAGCTATAACTTCGTTCAAAATTATCGAATCCGGGAGGCCCTGGTATGGTTCGATGCGCCTCAACGAGCTGAATCGAACCATACCAGGGCCTCCCGGATTCGACAATTTTGAACGAAGTTATAGCTCGGCGGTAAAGTGGCCTGCTCCCGTTGGCATTTTATCTTGTTATCCTTGCCTCTTCTCTCTCTTTCAAAATCTATTTTACATTTTATTAAGCAAGGTGTATTAAGCAAGGTTTTTAAATCACTTAACTCTATTTTAATTAAAAA